GGTGAGAGAAGGAAAATACAAAGGAAGTGGAAGAGGGAGAGAGAAGGGGGAGAGGAAAAGGAGGGAAATGGGGTAGAAAGTGGGGAAAAGTGAAAGTGGGAGAAGGGACAGAGAGAGGGAAAAGTGGAAAACAGCAAGAGAAGGGTGAATGATGAGAGAGAGAGTCAAAGATAGGAGGAGCAAAGTGAGAAAGGGAGTGGAAAAGAAAGAGGAAGAGGGGAGAAAGAGGAAACAAAGGAAGATAATGAGGAAAGAGACAGGAGGGAGAGAGGAAGAGTCAGAAGAGAGAATAACAGAGGAAATAAGAGAGGGAAAGGAGAGAAAGAGAAAGATGAAGACAGAAAGGGGAAAGGTGAAGAGAGAGGATGATATAAAAGTGAGAGGGGAAGAAAAAATAAAGGGGGTAGAAGAGAGAAAGTGGGAGAGAGAGGGAAAAGAGCAACAGAGAAGAGGCAAGAGAGAGGGAAGCAAAGACAATAAGTGAAAGAGAAGAGAGAGAAAGACTGGAGAGAGAAGGGAAGGGAAGAAGAGAGAGGAGAGAGAGAGGAGGAGAGGAGAGAGAGAGAGAAGAGGAGGGGGTAGAGAAGAGAGAGGAGGAGACAGAGAGAGGAGAGGAGGGGGAGAGAAGAAGAGAGAGGAGGAGAGAGGAGAGGAAGGGGGAAAGAAGAAGAGAGAGGAGAGAGAGAGAAGAGGAGGGGGGAGAGAAGAGAGAAAAGGAGAGAAGGGGGAGAGAAGAGAGAGGAGAGAGAGAGGAGGGGGAGAGAAGAGAGAGGAGGAGAGAGGAGAGGAGGGGGAAGAGAAGAAGAGAGAGGAGGAGAGAGAGAGGAGAGGAGGGGGGAGAAAAGAGAGAGGAAGAGAGAGAGGAGAGGAGGGGGGAAGAAGAAGAGAGAGGAGGAGGAGAGAGAGGAGCGGGGAGAGAAGGAGAGAGAGGAGAGGGAGAAGTTGGAACAAGAAGAATATGAAAATGTAGAAGAGAACATGGAGGGGAGGAGAGTGACAGCAGAAAGAATATGAGGAAAGAGATGGCAAGAATGGGAGCCCGGGGGAGGCGGCAGGGGGCTGGAGAGCTGAGTGTTGAGCCCAGCTCTGAGCCGCCTTTTTCTCACTTTCCCTCCTCTTTCCTCCTGCTTCCCCCCTCTTTGATAGTCAATGAATCTCGCTTGGAACCCCTTGGCAGAACCATTAGGTGGAGAGAGGCGCTTTCTCTCTCTCCGGCTTTAAGCCTTCTCAGGGGCTTTCCTCCCAAGGATGTATAAGGGAGGGCATAGGATCTGAAGCCTGGGATTTCCTGCGGCCTGGGAGCCGAGGAGACTCTCCCTAGCAATGCAGGGAGGGTGGCGCCTTCAATGCAACAGAGAGCACGCCTAGGGTGCCCAGATCCCACCAGGGAGTTCGTTGACTGGCCCAGGCTCACCCAGCCAGGCTGGTCCGAGGCAGTGCTCCAAGCCGGCTCTGCTGAGGTCTGAGGGAGGGCTCACTCTCCCCTCTGCCCCTCAAGGGGTGAAGGATCACACTCATTTGACAAGTGAGGATGCTGAGTGCCCCAGAGCAGGAAGTGACTCGCCCACGGTCACACGTGCAGCAAGTCAGCATTCCAACTCACAAGGGTTTCCCAAGCCCAGCGTTTTTTCTACCATTTTTGAGGCTGGATAGTGAGCGGGCAAGAAAAGGAAGTAGAGGAGCACAGAAAAGAAATTCAGCTGAAAGAGGAGTGAGGCAAGTAGAGACAAGCAAGCCCTGAGTCATGGAAATCACCTGAAGTGGCATGAGGGCAGTGTGGGGTAATGGCCAGGGCGCCGGTGAGGAAGCCATGGTTCAAAGGCTGCCTTACTCACCAGCTGGTGGCCCTGGGCAAGGCAGCACCTGAGCCTCAGCTTTATCTGCAAAATGAGGAAGTGAGACTCCCAGGTCCTTCGGCTCTAACTGCCATTCTATGAAGTGGAGGGAGGGACTGAATGGGATGGAAAGAGGAAGAAGAGGGAAGAAGAGAAGGGTGGAGGAGAGAGGCAAGGGCGAAGGGCAGGGCGGGGGAAACGGGTGGAGGAGGGATGAAGCACACTGGAGGGAAGAGGGAGAGACACCTGAGAGGGCTGGACCAAGATAGGTCCAGGGAGGGAAGGAGGGAGGGGGAGAGTGGCCCCGGCCAGGATTGGGTCACAGGCGCCCTAGAGGTAAGCCGTGAGGGGGCGTCCCACCTCCATCCCAGATGTGTGTGGGGGTGGGGCCTCATGGGGTCCCCATGGACACTGGGGAGATAGAGATGCGATGCTCCAACCAGTCCCCTGCACACAAGCATCCCTTTGTCCTGGCAGTGGAGGGGCCTACAACGAGGCTGTTGTCCTCGAGCTGGGGGAAGGGGAGACTCTGAAACCCTTTGGAATCTCAGCCTGGGTTGGTAGCGCCCTCCGAGGGCACCAAGTCTCTGACCCCAGCCTGCACTGAGCAAGTCCCGTCTGGGCCTCGATTTCTCTGTCACATGGGGGAGTCAGTAAGGGGTCAACGAGCCTGTCCCAGCTCCCACCCTCTGCCTGTGGTGCCTGGTCCAAGGAGGCTGCATGTGTGTGAGCTCTGGGCAGAGCCGGAGGAGGGGCGTGGGGATGAGTGGAAAGGGAGGGAGAGAGCAAGAGCGGAGTCGGCAGAGGCAGAGGCAGAGAGAGAGGAGCAGAGGTCAGGACAGAAACACCTTTATTCAGCAGGAGATGAGGACAGAGAGAAAGAGAGAGAGAAGCTTCAGCCCTGCTGGGGCACGGGGCCCCATGGCCTATAAACCTTCCTCCCGAGGAGATGAGACACTGAGAGACACAGACTGGGGAGACAGAGGGGCAGAGACAGAGGCAAAGGGGAGACGGAAGGGGCCGAAAGAGAGTCTGACAGCAGAGGGAGGGGGAGAGAGAACAATGGAGGACAGAGATGAGCACTGGCATGAAAGGGAGCCAGGCTCAGAGAGGAGAGGACTCATGGAGATGAGGGAGACACAGAGGAAACAGAGGGCAAAAAGTAGGTGAGGAAGAGAAGAGAGGGGCACAGAGAAGAATGAGAGTGAGAGAGAGACAGAAAGAGAAGAGGAGAGGGGAAAGAGAGACAGACTCAGAGAGAAAGAGAGAGAGAGAGAGAGAGAGAGAGAGAGAGAGAGAGAGAGAGAGAGAGAGGAGAAGGGAAGGGAAGGGAAGAGAGAGGGGAGAAAAGACAGAAAGAGAAGAGGAGAGGAGAAGAAGGGAAGGGAAGAGAGGGGAGAAAAAGAGACAGGAGAGGAGAAGGGAAGGGAAGAGAGGGGAGAAAAAGACAGAGAGAGAGAAAGAGGAGAGAAGAGGGGAAAGAGACAGACAAGAGAGAGAGAGAGAGGAGAGGAGAAGGGAAGGGAAGGGAAGAGAGGGGGAGAAAAAGACAAAGAGAAAGAGGACAGGAGAGGGGAAAGAGACAGACAAGAGAGAAAGGAGAGAGAGGAGAGAAGGGAAGGGAAGAGAGGGGAGAAAAAGACAGAGAGAAAGGAGAGGAGAGGGGAAAGAGACAGAGAGAGGGAGAGGAGAAGGGAAGAGAGAGGGGAGAAAAAGACAGAAAGAGAAGAGGAGAGGGGAAAGAGACAGAGAGAGAGGGGAAGAGTAGGGCAGGAAGGAAAGGATGGGACAGAGAGGAAAAGAGGGACTGTGGGACAGTTGAGATGGAAGGGGAGAGAGAAAAAGGGGTAGGACAGTGGAGAGAAGAAAGAGGACAGCCAGAGAAGAAATGGAGAGGGAGGAGGGCAGGAGGAGGATTTAAAAAGGAGACTTAGGGGAAAGGAACAGAGATGAGAGGTGCAAAGAAGAGGAGAAAGCAAAAGGGAACAGAGACGGAGAGGGAGGGAGGGGAGAGAGAGAGAGAGAGAGAGAGAGAGAGAGAGAGAGAGAGAGAGAGAGAGAGAGAGACAGACAGACAGACAGACAGACAGACAGACAGACAGACAGAAACAGAGAGAAACGAGATAGAGAGTGAGAATGGTGGAAAGGAAAAAAGGAGATTAGAAAAGTAGAGGAGACAGAGAAGGGACAGGGAAGCAGAGAAAGAGGAGAGGACGGACGAGAGAGGAGACAGACAGAAAGATGGAGGGGAACAAGACAGGATGGAGAGGGAGAGGCACAGAGGCAAGGCTCAGAGACACAGAAAGGGGCAGATAGACAAGGAACTGGACAAGTGATGCCCATCCTGCCCTCCCCCGCCTCCCATCCCAGCACTTCTCACCTGCTTGTCCTCCTCCAGGGCAGCTCTAGCCCAGGCAGCCCCATTATAAGGGCTCCTGGCCCAGGCCCCTGCCAATGAGGGGCTGCCTTCCACCTCCGCCCTTATCGCAGGCCCAGACCCCGAGGCTCCACTGAAGCTAAATCGGGCTCCTCAGCTGTCATCAGCCCCAGCCCGGCCTGAGCCCCACCAGACAGCTGGGCCTTCCCTGCCAGGGCAGCGAGGGGGGCGGTTGGGCCTTCCCACCTGTCCCAGGGCCATTTTTGGCTTTTTCGAGAGGTCCCTTGGACAAGCTGGAGGCCCAAGAATAGAAACCCCTGAGTGTGCACCAACTGAGCTGGGGGTGGGGGCAGACACACCCAGGGAATGGACAGAGATAGGCAGGGATGTATGTGCAGGGAACAGACAACAGGAGAGAGGCCAAGGGGGCAGAGGCCTCCTCCCAGCTGTCTACCTCCAGCAGCTCCCAGTCCCTAGGGAGGTCCCACCCTGCACCTCGGATCCCCCACCTGTTTCTCCTCCTGAGCAGGCCCAACTTTGGACTCCTCGGTGGGTCACACCCCCCACGGTTCCTTGTCCCTCACGTCCTGCTGCTTCTTTCCTGTCTGCCACAAACCTGGACCACTCCAGTAGCCCCCTTAGAGGGCTGCCCGCTGTCCTCCAAATTGTCCTTGGTACTAAAGCTCCCTGGGCCTGGCACTGCTGCTTATACATGCAATTGTAGTCAGATCAGGGCATTCCCCAGCGCTCCCGTTCCCTCCACCTGCAAGGACCATGACCCTCAGCCCTCCAATAGCACTTGAACGGTTTTTTAATGCGCTTGTCAGAGACACAGAATGTGGGTGCAGTTGTAATCAATACCATAATGGTGGACTTCAAAGGCTGGCCAAGCACTGGCATCCGTTAGCTCTCACCAGCCCTGTGAGGTGGGGGCTAAGTTTATCCCCATTTTACAGATGAGGAAAGTCAGTCTCCAGGTGAAATAACTTGCCGGGGGCACACAGCCCCCACAGGGCCCTAGGAAGTCCAGCCCTGTGGCCCCTGCGCCTCAGATCTGAGCAGAAGCTGGCTGCCTCCCTGCCCAGTACATGGCAGGAGGCTGCCCACACAGGCCCTGGGGCGACTGCTTCCCACGTGGAGGCCCCAGGCTGTGAGCCCTGCATACAGGCCCTTGGTACCCAGCACAGGGCTGGGGATGTAGCTGCTGGATCAATGGAACCTGACTGCTGAGGAAGGGAGGAGGGGAGCAGAGGGCAGCGAGCAGAGGGGAGGGCTGGGCTGGGGACACAGGAGAGGCACTAATCTAGCTGAAGCACTTGGAGCCTGGAGGGGAGTGGGGGGAGATAAGGCTCCCAGGTGCAGCCTGGCCCCAGGAGCTCCAGCCTGCTGCCAGGTTTATTAAGGAAGTGGCTGCGGGGGCAGCAGCTGAGGAGCATTCCCGGCTCCCCTGCAGCCCCTTCCTCATTTGTCCTTCCCCCCCCCCCGGGAGGCCTTCAACAGGCACCCCTGACACTCTCCAGAGACACTGAAAGCCGGACAGACAGAAGCTAGGGCAGGGAGGGCAGAGATACGGGGAAGGCAGACACCCCGGGACTGGGGCTGCTAGGAGAGGCAGGAAATGTAGGGAGGGGACAGCAGCAATGTGACAGGGAGAGGTAGTCGCCTCTGGGCAGGGGGCCTAGGCTGTGGGAGTCCCTCAGGACCTGCTGTCAGGGGAAGGGGCGCTCAGGCCGGCTGCAGCCAGCTGCCCGCTGCTTCCACCTCTTTGGTTACCACCAGGAGCACCTCACACGGACCCTCGGCCAGGGCAGCTGAGAGGAAGTCCCTGGGGGAGAAGGGGAGTGTGGCAGGCGCCTCGGGCTAGGCAGGTTTCTGGGCCCTCCCGAGCCCTGCTTGGGTCCCACCGGCCCAGCCCCATGAGCCTCCGCCCCTCCAGTGCGGCCATGAGCCCTCCCTCTGGCAGCCGTTGACCGCCGGGCCCCTCACCTGAGCTCGGCCTCGCCCCCCAGGGCCATGGGCTCCCGAAGCTTCGAGTCCAAGTTGTAGTAAACATTGCCCACCTGGCGTAGGGCCACCCAGTGACGTCGCTGCAGGGGAAGGGACAGTAGGCCCAGGGAGACAGGGGAGGGCAGGTTCAGGATGAAGCCTAGGACCTGGGGCAAGGCCAGCTGGGCCAAGGGCCTGGGGAACACGGCAGGGAGGGGGCTCAGCCGGGCGCGGCCCGTTGGGACACCCCTCCCTCCTCGTCCTCCCCCTCCCTCTTTGCTCCCCCCTCCCTCCTCCTCCTCCTCGCCCTTCCCTCCCCTCCCTCCTAGTCCTCCCCCCCCCCCCCCCCCCCCCCCCCCCCCCCCGCCCAGCTGAGGCTCTCACCGCCGCCGATCCCACCACACGGAAGCCAGCCCCAGGCCCTGAAGGGCAGCCATGATGACGTTCACGTCGTAGTTCCCCGTGCCCAGGAGGCTTCGATGAGGGTTCAGGCGGGAACCGGGGGCCAACCTGGAGGGGGAGGCAGGGAGGGCCCAGATGGAAAGTCTCCTCGGGTCCCCGGGGGACTCCCAGGTGGGGAATCTGCTCAGTCCTGCGCCCCCACGGCCAGGAGCCCCCCAAGAGATGGGAACGGCAGAGTCAGAAGGAAGAACCTGTCCCCCTCCAGGCCCTTCTCCTCTCCTCCCCCACTTAGAGACAGTGAGCACCAGAAGAGGGAGAGGAGGCGCCCCGAATGGGGAAGACTCCTCGTGAGCCGCCCCCGACCCCCCAGGCTCGGCCACCCCTCCTTTCCTTTGGTCTTTGTATCAGCCCCTGGCCCAGAGACACGGCCTTGCACACAGCAGGAGCATAATGAATGTTTGTTTTGTTGAATGGACCAGTGGAGCCTGGCGACACAAGGTTCCTTTGGCGTCCCTAGATCCCAGCCAGACCCTTCCTGGCCTTCTCTGCTCTGCGCATCGTCGCTCCCTCTCCCCAAGCCTCAGCACTTCACGCATGGATGGCCGCCTGCAATGGCTGCTGGGGGATCTGCCTGCCCGGGGCTCTCCCTTGTCCAGTCTATCCTCCATTCAGCTCCCAAAGGGATTTTCCTAAAGCTCAATTCCGACTAGCTAACTCCCTTCTAACTAAATCACCTCCAGTCGCTTCCTATGGCCTCCAGATTCAAGTACAAAACTCTGCGCTCGTCATTCAAAGCCCTGCGTGGCCCGGCTGCCTCCCACCTTTGCAGCCCCACTGCTCTTCTGTCCAGGGACCCCGGCCTTCTCGGCTCCTGCCCCTCTCTCTGGCCGTCCCCCAGGCCGGGGGCGGGGCTCTCTCCCCCACCCCACCCCCGCACACACTACTGAATCCCCCCATAGGATGCCTTCCCCAGCCCCCCTTAATTCTTAATTAGCTATTTATTCTGCATACAGAGTGTTTGAAGTATGTCTACGGTGGTCTCCACCAGATCGGGAGCTACCTGAGGGGAGGGCCCGGTTTTTGCCTCTTTGTAACCTGGACCTGCTGCCTCTGCCCTGGGGGTGGTGAGGCTCACCGGAGAGTGAACATACATTGCCCTTCCACAGACTCATCAAGTCGGCTGTTCCTCTCGCAGCTGGCCCTGATCCCTGCCTGCTCTCCTGGGCTCCCACCTTAACCCCCACCCACGACATCGGGGAAGCTCAGACCCTGACCTCCAGCGGGCTGAAGCTAGGGCCGAGAGGGCCCTCCTCGGAGGTCATCAGGCCTGGCCCTCATTTACAGAGGCAAGTTCAGTGAATCTCAGAGTGTCCTCCTGCCCCATCTAGGGCCCTGGGGCCTGGCTCATGCTAGGCTCTGCCCTCATTCTTTCATTCTCAAGAACCTGCTATAGCTTCTTAGGTTCCTCGGAAGGGAGCTCGACCTCCTTAGCAGGGCATTCAAGACCAGCCTCTCTCACCTTCCTCGTTTGCCAGGTTAGTGACTACAGCGCGCGCCCCCCCCCATTCTCTGTCGCTAAGCCTCAGTTTCTCCATCTGTAAAATGAGAAGACTGGCTGGCTCTAAGGGCCTTCTCTGGGCCTCTAAGAAGGCTGCAGGACGTGCGGCCCCTTGCTCCCCTCCTCTGGGCCTTCACTGTCCCAGGGAAGGGATCACTCGTTCAGCCTTTCAAAAGGGGAAGCAGGCCCAAAGACGACCTCGAGGCTCGGCCCGGGCTCCTGTCCACTGCTGACCCCCTCAGGCCCTCGAAGCTGCGTCCCAGGAGAAGGCCCGTGGGCATGGGCTTGCCCACGCGTGCCCGCAGCCGCAGGGGGTCGGGGTGGGGGCGTCACCTCTTGCAGATCTCATCGGCCGCCTCCTGGCTAAAGAGCCGCTGCTGCAGAACGTTGTTGAGTGCGTGCACCGCGCACAGCTCCAGGCGCTGCCGCTCGTGATACACGGGCACGGGGGGCTCGGCCCCGGGGGGCGGCGCGCCCCCCTCCTCCGGGGGTCCCGGAGGCCCCGGGCTCCCCGACATCCAGGGTCCTGCGCACACACGGGAGAGACACACGAGCCACACTCAGGGGCTCGAGGGGACGTCGAGGCAGAGATGCCGAGGTGGGGGATTTCAGAGAAAGATAGAAATGGCGGGCCAGGGACTGAGACTCAGAGATGGGGGGCTCAGAGATGCAGAGATGGGAGGCAGAGACAGGGAGTGTAGACACAGGGGAACCCAGAGACAGATGGAGAGGGGTTCAGAGACACAGAGAGACTTAGATTTGGGGTGCAGAGAAGGGAGCCCAGAGACAGAGTGACGGAGGGTTCAGAGACAGGTAGACTCAGGGATGGGGAGGCAGGGACACAGAGACTCAGATCTGGGGTGCAGACAGGGGAGCCCAGAGACAGAAGAGGGTTCAGATAGACTTAGATTTGGGGTGCAGAGATGGGAGCCCAGAAACAGAGGGGGGTTCAGAGGCATATAGGGAGATTCAGGGGTGGGGAAGCAGGGACAGAGAGACTGGGATTTGAGGGGCAGAGACAGGGGGTGCAGAGAGAGACTCAGAGATGTAGGGCTGAGAGACAGAAGACAGGGAGCCCGGAGACAGAGAGACGGGGGACGGGGCGGGAGTTCAGAGACAGAGGTAGACTCAGAGATGGGGGAGGGGCAGAGACGGGGGGAGGGGGCCCCTAGAGACAGAGACACGGGGGCCCAGAGACAGAGAGTCTGCCAAGAGACGCCGCACTGACCAAGGACCTGAGTCAAGCGCGGGGACGCGGACTGACGCTTAGAGATCCCGCCCCGCCCCGCCCCGCCCCAAGCCGTGCCAATGGGGAAACTGAGGATCAGGCAGGGCCTGAACCCCGGCTGGGCCCCTCCCTCTCGTCGAGTCGCTTGGCAACAAGCCCCACCCCCGCCCCCTCACCGGACCCTGTGGGACTCGTTCTTCCCAGAGCTCCCCGCGCCAAGGCTGACCTTCCCAGAAATCCTCACGCCTCCTTCGGAACCCTTTCCCAGAAGCCCCCGCGGTCTCCTGCGGGACGCTTTCCCAGAAGCCCCTCGGCCTACAAAGGGACTCGCCTTCCCAGAACCTTTCGCGGCGGGCTCACAGGTCCAGACGGCCTGGCGGAGGCGCGCATGGGCCTGGCCTTCCCAGAAGCCCTCGCGACTGACGCCAGACTCATCTTCCCAGGAGGCCACGGGGCTGCCTCAGGCCCGCACTTCGCAGAAGCGTCCTCAGACCGGCCTAAAATGGCCTTCCCATAATCCCTCGGGAAGCAGAAGCACGGAGTAGGGAAACCGAGGCACAGAGTTGAAACAAATATATAGTGGGGAAACAAGAACAATATGAGGAAATTGAGCCACAGAGCCTGGGGGGGAAGACAAGAGTGGGGAAACTGAGGTAGAGAATGGCCCAACAGGCAGGCTGTGGGGTCTGGGAGGGACCAGTAGCACAGCCAAGTTCAAGTAGAGCAGAGCCTTGAATGCCACCCCCACACAACAATATTCGAGCCATGTGGAGCTGGTGGTCTGCTGAAACCCCCAAAGTGTTCTCAGACAAACCTGGGCCCCCCATCTTGTGCTGGTGACCCCCAATACCTAAGGGTCAGATGGGGGCTCAGGAGGTGACCCCAAACCTGGGGCCCTCCACCCCCATGGTGCCACACAGTACTGGGGGGGGTAGGCTGTCAGGGAGGGGGCACTAGTGACCTGGGCGCTGAGCACAGGCTTCTTTCTTGGCCCCTTATGCCTAGCACTGAGTCGGGGTCTCCTCTCCTCCCCTCTGGCTCCCAGCATAAGACCCAAAGTCACTGAGGAAACCAGGGATTTCCATTGCAGTAAAGACACCCCAAACTTTATTGGCTGATAAGGCTGGCATGAGAAAGGGGAAACTGAGGCACAGTCTGGGACCAGGCAAGGGGCAGCCTTCCTTCCGGGATGCCTTCTCCTCAGCACAGCTGGATCCCAGGCTTTGGGGCACTGCGGCTGCCACAGGCTACAGACAGACAGACAGACAGACAGGCTGCCTTTCACAGCCTCCCCCTCTCTTCCAATCCCACCTGTGACCCTCAGTAGCTGTGAGCAAGTCATTTCCCTCTGGTCTGCCTCAGTTTCTTCATCCGTCAGGCAAAGGGCTTTGTTTAGATGGCCTTGAAGGCCTTTTCTGCTCTAAATCGATGATCTGAGGATCACAGAGATGTCTCTGCCATCTCTGACTGTCCTGAGAATCTCTGTCCCCATTCCCTTTCTCTTTATGCGGTGATTTCAATTCAACACAAATTGATTAAGTGCCTTCTGTATGCATGTCTCTAAGGAGGCATACTGGAGAGAGGTGCAGGCCCTTTGCTGGGCACCCAGGGGGCACAGAGGGAGGGGAGGCCCAGGCCTCGCGCTGGGCACCAAGGGGGCATGGAGGGAGAAGCCTGGGTCTGATACTGGGCACAAAGCTGGGGAGAAGCACAGGGCAAACAGACTCAGAGAAGTGAGAAGCAAAATCCCCCAGACTGTATAGGGCAGGCATGGGCTTTGAATTTGGCTCCTGGGATTTTCAATCCTTCCCTTTTCTCTGTGCCATGATCTCACCCAGGTCTCACCTGGAAGCTCACTGAGACTCAGGAGCCATCTGACTCATCTGTGACTTCCCAAAGCCTTAGCTGGGCTCACAGTAGGCACTTAATAATTGCATGCTGAGTTCCACCAAGGCAAGGGCCCCATAAGGAAGACTGAGCCAGAGTATGGCAGATGTCCTAGACTCAGAAAGTCATTCATTAGGGGTATCAAACCATGGCTGATACTGCCTGGTATCTGAGAAACCAGAGATAGTGGAGCTGTCCAGGACTTCAGGAACATACAGTAAGACAGAAGGAACGAGGACAGCCAGGGGACAGACACGTCAAGACTAGGTGTGCCATTGCCATCAGGAGAAGAGGAGGCAGTGGGGCCTGGGCAAGGGCTGAGGCTCAGGGGCTTCGGAGCTGGGAGCTGGGGGTTGAGGCTTACCCAGGAGGCTGCCCCAGAAGGTGGTTAGGGTGGCAGAGCCGGTAACTGCCCCGGGCTCCGCTGGGTTTTCCCGCTGGGTCCGGACACAGAAGCTCTGGCCACTGGGGCCTGGAGGTCCCCTCAACTCCACATCTATCACATGCCGATCAACTAGGCTGGGATCAGAGGGTTGGGGTCATGGGTTGGGGATGGGAATGATGCCCTGCCAGGGCTCCCCTCACCCTCTGGCCCCAATCCCAGCTCACCTGAGGTCAGAGACCAGGACTCCAACCACGCCATCAAAGCCTAGGCTTGGGGCAGCCAGAGCAGCAGCTGCCATGGTGTTAGAGTTGCGGGGGGCAAAGGGGCAGAGCCCCCGAATGGGCCCCTCATAAAGCACAGTTCGGGGACCCTCCTGGGGCGCCCTGCCCAGTGGCCCCTCCAGCCGGAAGCCATCAGGGTGCGTTGCTATCGTTATACGAAGACTCTAGAGGGGTCACAGGTTATGGCTGTGAATTTCTTGTCACGTCCCAGCCCTCACCAGTTCAGCCACTGCATGCCCTTCCTTACCTGTAGCCCCTCTGAGGCATCCAGCCGGCATATGTCCTCAGCTCCCCACAAGGCTCCCCGAGCCACAAACACTGAATGGCCCGACTTCCTTGAGGACTCTAGCAGCTGCTGCTCTGTGTCCCTGTCAGCGAGGGCTGAGGGGGACCCCACCTGGAAAGACAGGAGAGCAGGAGCCTGACTGGAAAGGCTCTCTGGGGGTGCAGGGCCCCAAGAAAGGGAGAGCTATCTAGAATCAGGCTTAGAGCATCAGAGCTGGGAGGCACCTTGTAATACAGAATGTAGGGTTTTGGAGTGGGGAGTGTCCTTAGAATGTAGAACAGAATGGCAGAGCTCATTGAGACTTTAGAACAGAGAGTGTCGGGTCTGAGAAGGGACTTTGGAACACAGAATATAGACTGTCTCAGACAGGAGGGGCCTTAGAACATGGAATGACAGAGCCAGGAGGGACAGTAAAGCAGAATATTAGCTTAGTGGAGGTGGGTGTGGTGGGACCTTAATGCACAGGACAGAATGTCAGAGCTGGAAGGGGCCTTGAAGCAGAATAGGAGAGCTTGGCAGGGGAGAGGGGCTGTTATCAGTACACGGGACACAGAATTTCATATTTGTGAGAGCCTTTACAACAGAATAGTAAAGCTGGGAGGGTCCTGGGAACCATCATCATTCCAATCTCCCGTTGGCAGACAGAGGGCTGGGGTGGGGGAGAGACTTGCCCAGGGTGGCAAGGGGAAGCCTCACCAAGAGGTCAGCGTGGCTCAGGATCTGGGCCCCCAAATCATGGATGATCTTGGGATGAGCAACTTCCACCACCAGATCTGGACTCCTATAGGGAGGATGGGAAGGAGAAGGGGGTAAGGGGACAAGCATTTATTAAGTGCCTCCATGTGCTTAGCGCTGTGCTAAATGCTTTACAGGGCCCCTGTAAGGTAGGTCATTGGCGAGGAGGCCCTGAGAAACCTTAGCTTCTCCTGGCCCAGTGGGTGGTGGATTGATGGGTGTGCTCCCCAAGACTCTCAAATGGAGGATCTCCCACCAGGACAGCAAGGCTGGAGGTCACTGACCTATCACCCAGGGCACTGAGGTCATGGAGCCTCAGGGCAGGGGGCAGGGTGCTTTGCAGTCTCCTGGGGTCCCGATTCCAGACAAAGACGAGCTCCAGGCCATGCTGGGCCCCCTCGGCCAGCAATCTAGCAGCCAAGGCCTGACCTGTAGAGATGGGAGAGAGACACCTGGCCAGGTCAGGGAGCGGGAGAGGCCTGGGCTAGGGCTGACAGGCAGCATGTGGACACCCTACTCACCAAGGCGCCCATAGCCCAGCAGGCCAACCTTCTTCAGGTTCTGATCCTCTGCCATCTTTGGTGCTCCTGAAGCCCTCCTACCAGGCTGACACTGTCCAGTGCTGAGCTTTGGACAGGTGACCTTTGGACCTGGTGCTTGCTGCCCCAACAGGGCCCCTGGCTGGAGAGAAGGGGAGGGCAGATCCCTGAACCCTCCTGAGAAAGGACTCTTCCCAAATTCAGCAGGGTGGTGTCTCTCCCTCTCTCATCAGCCAGGATTTGGGTTGGAAGTGTCTCAAAGGCTGTCTCTCAGCATATACATTAATAACCCACAGCCAACTTCTCCTTCCCTGGGGGTGCTAAGCCCCTTCCGCCTCCTTATTGCAACCAAAGCCTTTGCAACCTTCTCCCTCCCCCTTGCAGGCCCAGCCAGGTTGCCATGGAAACCTCACCCCATTTGGGGGAGGGCGGGTTGGTAGTCAGACACAGGGATGGGTGCTCAGCCTGTCTCTTGCAGGCTCTGGGTCTCTCTCATCCGACCCTTTGTCCTGGCTTCTCCCTTTTCTCCTTCTTTCCACTAAGGGGCTGTCCCTGCCTCGGTCTGCGTCCCTGACTCCTGTGCACGTCTCTGTGATCTCCTTTTTAGGCGAGGTTGTGTCTCTGCCATACCTCCTCCCCACCTCCAGCCTGCTGGGCTAGGGTTCCATCTCTGGCTGCCCAGCAAATATCCTTCCCTAGCCTGCCCCCTTCCCTCACCCTTCTGCTGCCCACCGGTGTCCTCAGGGAAGTGCCCAGGCACGGAGCAGCCGCATCCTTCCTAGATATATCTGTGGGGTGGGGAAAGCCCTAGCCCCCTCCTGAGGCACAGGCTAGAGGGGATGCTGAGTTGATCTTGCTCTGTCCCCAGCCTTTCCCCCATCCATCTGCAGTGAGGGCAGTGACTTCTGACCTTTGTCCTTCCCCCAGGACACTGATGGGGACAGCTAGGGAAGGGAGGGCCCAGCCTG